CGCTTGAAAGAATTCTTATAAACACGGGAAAATTTCAGCGCACACACGATGAAAAGCGCCATTTTGCAAATTCGATCAAAGGGAAGACTACATTTTCTTCAAGCAATACATTGCCATTGAAGGGTTGAGAAACTGACGGTTTTTCTTGTTGCATGTTTATGATTGGTCTTTAAAATGTTATTCATGACCTAAAATTCTTTTGCCACATTTTGGCTGTAGAAAATGTTTAACAATAAAGAAAAGAAATTAACATTAATAAAGAACACTAGACCAGAGTCTTGAAGAAGATTTGTAAGTTAATTAAGTCATCTTGTCAATAGGGAACAGCAAGTTAAGTGCTGCAAAAAAGGGGCTACATTTTTTTTTGTATATTTTGAAGAAAAAAAATAACACTGAATTTAATACATATTTAATACAATTGACCATTTTAGTTTTATTCAAATTTTTACTTGCGCATAATATTTGTTATAAACGTTACTGTTTTCTTAATTCTTTTTTTTTGCACAATTTTTTAAGCATCACGAAGCACTATATGAATAATTTGCTTTAAATTCAGTTGCTTATCATCATAATTAGTAAATTCATATTACTTGAAACTATTTAAGGTTATTATTCATTTCCATACATTATTTTGTGCTGTTGACACAATCCGAATTCTAGACAGTGTTCTGGAATTAAAATTGGTCACACGATTTTGCTTTGCTGATTTTATTTTTTATTAAAAAATATAAGTATAACGAAATAGATGATCGCCTAGGATTCCCAACCCTCTATACATTTATTTTGCATGAGAAAAGAGCAATTTTTTACTTTACTCGACAAACTTTTACTTTATTTCCACTTAGATAGACAAGGAAAGAGCGAGAAGTTACATGCGTGGCTTTTGGCTGCGGGAAAGAAAAGATTCCTTTGTGAAAATGGTGGACTTTTGAACAATTTCCGAGCTCTCACTACGTACCTTTTGCGGTTTGACGCAAATTATACACCTCGGGCTATTTTACATAGTGCGTCACTAGAATGGGAAAATTGTATCTTTTATTTTCAGCTCAATTTCATTCTGTTCATTGGTTCTTGTGAATTGTTTCAATCTTCATCAAATTTTTTCAGACTAAAATCAACTTTCCAGGGCTATTTTCACATAAAAAAATTCTTTCAGATTATATGATTTTTTTTCTATTATTTCTTTAGGATATATCCGAGTCATTTTAAATTTCTGGATTACTTTAAAAATAAAAATTACTTTAGAGACTTCCAAATTAAAGCGAATTGACAAAGTTTTTTTTTAATCAGTTGTATCATAAATTTTAGAATATTAAAATATAAAATTTGAAATTATCTTTCGGTTATAATTTACTTCGATATGATATGATTCAACTTTTGATAAAAAAAAATGACTTAATACTTTTGTACTTTTTTAATCATAAATTCTAGCCTGTATGAAGTTACATTTAAAAAAAATTTAATTCATTTTTACCAGTTTATATTAGGTCACATAAAAAAAAAAATATACGCCAGCGAAAACAAGTTACCAAATGGAATTTCAGGGAGATTGATTTTCAACATCAGAGCTGCTGGATCGTCATTTCCATATCAAGAGATCCGCTGTTTCCTGCCCTAATGGGATGTTATTTTTTTCAACCAGCTCCGCCTATTTGTTTGCTTCGGAGGCGGCGTTCGGCGTTTACTTTCGAATTTTTCTTATTATAATGGCATTTTCTTGTTAGAAGAACAAAAAAATGAAGATTTCAAATCGGATTGGAGGAATAAATCTGTCCCTAAAAGGAATTTGGTTGATGTATATCAATGACGTTATATTTCTCTTGTGTGAAAATTGCTAGGGGAGAGAACAGAGGAGCAAGGAAAAGGGGACCACGACCAACAAATATTTCTGGAGATTATAAACATTTACGAGCTGGAGACGCGGGTCGGCACTGCTATATCCTAATTCACTCTCTTAAAAGCATCTTATTATTATTTGATGGAGGGTATCTCCTATTCCGAAAAAATAATCCTTTTAAATGAAATTTCTTTCTACTGGTGTTATTTTCTCAAGAATAACAAAACTTTCATTAATGCCTTGGAAAAAAATTCAATTCATACATCCTTTTTTCCTTACAATTTGGTATTCCTGTATATGTATAAGCACTAAACATTAATTCATTTATAAATTTAAAGAAATTTTATTATTTCTTCTTTCATCTGCTTTCGTCTTAAAGGTTTAAATTTGTTTCCACCAAATGATTATTTTTGGCAAACATAAAAATCTTTAATTTTTCTACCGTGAGTAATAATATTATCTTCCTGCTTTAAATTATGCACTAAATCATATACGAAAAGACAATTTTTTTTTTAATTCTGGAAAAACAATTTTGTTTAGAGTTCTTTAGAGAAAAAGTTTTAGGGCGACTTGAAAGAAAGGAAACTTTTATATCAAAGCTCTAAATTGCTCTAAAAATGTCAGCAAACGAGATGGATGCATTTCAAATCCCTGCTTTTCTTCTACTTCTTCTTGTACAAAAAGTCATGTAGGTCAAAACGTTATTCTCCGCTTCATTTGCTCATTAATTTTTTTCTGGCTCGGCTTTTTTCTCCGAACGCCAACTGGATCAATTTCGCCACGACTGACAAATCGCGCCAGGTCTCGCGTGCGTTTTGCAACGAAAAAAACACAAGACACCATTAGCGTTATTATTTATGGTTTTAAAAAAATAACATAGCCGAGTTAGGTAATTCAAGAACACGCTGCGTATTTTCGTCAAGGTCGACGGAGCATCCGTCCCAAAACACGTACATCGACGGAAAATAACGTTTGAATGGTGCATTGGCTATTAGGTTACGACATTTTTGATTCGAGAATGTACACTTGTTGATTCCGCGTAACACATTAACCGGAAATCCGAGCTCGTGTATCAATTAAGGGTGGACCGCCTTTCATCCGAAAGGAATTTGTCCGAAAATGCCTTTTCGGACTTCATCCGAAAATTTGGAAATAGTCCGAAAAAAATCGGAATTCATCCGAAAGGAAATAGGCCGAAAATACCTTTTCTGACTTCATCCGAGTTATCCGTCACTGGGGAATTAAATAAATTTTTGATATTTTCATATGTTCTTTTATTAATATGATTAGAAAAGTATAAATTCTGTTCCATCTGATAAATTTGTGGCATAAAAATAAAAATGGTAATATATAAGATTCTTTTTAAATTATTGCATTGAGCTTGATGTTGGCAAAGTTTTAGTTGGATAATTAAAAATTATTTATTTTATAACAATGCCTTAAAAATGCCAATTACCTTAGGAATGACTTCCTGAAAATTGAAAATTTCCACGTGTAACTTGTGTCCCAATATATGCTGAGAAAAATGTGTCACGTGACGTGCGCTTGTGTCGCTTTGTCCGGTAAGTTTTGTCTGCTGTAACTTGTTGCCGCATCACAAAACCACACAGTTTTTCCAAACTTTTTGCCAGGTATAAGAAGTGCCATTTCCGTTTATCTCAAATTTGTTTATGTTCAAACTCCTAATACAGTTGATTGATAAAAAAAACGGTATATTATTTTCATAGCCGGTTTTCGGATTAATTCCGATTTTTTTCGGCCTATTTCCTTTCGGATGAATTCCGATTTTTTTTGGACTATTTCCAAATTTTCGGATAAAGTCCAAAAAGGCACTTTCGGACTAATTCCTTTCGGACTAAGTCCGGCGACCCCAATTAAGTCTTGACCTTTAAAGTTTCGTACATTTAAAAATACCATAATGCGCGTAGAACCGTCCTTTGTAACCATTTTTCACCTCCAATACAAAATCAATTCGATCATCACTAATTGGTTTTGACGAGAAATTGACATTTAAAGGTAAGTAATGAGGCCGTTAATTTATTCACGGATAAATCCTTTCCCAATTAGAACTTACTGAAGCATAGAAATCAAACGTGCCCATTTAACGTTGTGGAATTGAGCGAGAGTCCTCTGCGCACAATATTTACTCTTGTCTCCAGCACGCTTGAGATGTTTTTCATTAATTAAAACGACATGCTCGCCCAACAGTTGTGCAAATTTGTTTTCGGCCGATAAATCATATACAAATTTATACACAGTCTCTAAATAATCCAAAAAGCATTTTTAAAAGGTAAAATTGAAATTGTTTTCAGCATATATAAACAATCTTACTTTCTTTATTTTAAAATAAACAATTGATAAAATAATCCATCGTCAGAATGAATTTAAAAGAGAATTAAAAGAAGCATAGGATCATGTGTTAAATATTATATAAAATAATTTTTTCGTAAACTATTCAGTTTTTGCCATGGCAATAAGTATAACATTGGGAAGGCATACGTCAGAAAGTTAGCTTTCCCTTGATATTTCATTTTAGAGTATAGTTACATTTATTTGACTTGAAATGGTAATTTTTTAATTTTATTTGTCTGATTTTTCAGAATAATCACTATTGTATGCTACTTTGGCCTCTTAAGAGAGATATATGAACTTATCAAATTTTGGAATTTGCACATAATTGAGGCAATGCTCTATACATATATTATTTTAGTTTTAAAACTGCTTTACAAAAATATTATGAAATTAAAACTAGGCATTATTATACAGTATATAAAAAATCAACACATAAATGGTAAAATATATTTAATATAAAATAATATAAAAATTGAAATCTTTTGAAATAGATATTAGAATAAAATATACATCATAAATAAAAAAAGCTATAAAATATATTTTTGTTGTAAATTTTATTTTAAAAGCCTTAACATACTGCAGAAAAAAAGATAAAAATTTACAATTAGTCACGTTTATTAGTGCGTCGTCGTTTGATGGCTCCTGGAATATCGACAAAGGTAGAGAAAAAAAGCCGGGCGGCGGCGAACAGACCCTGGATAAAAACAACCTGCCGCATACCTGGCGTTGTTGTTGTTCCCCTTCCACCTCAGCTAGGTGCACACATACCTTTGGAGAAACGAAAGAAGGTTCGCCGCGCAAGAAAGAAAGACTCAGTAATCGCCGGCGAACGTGATGGAGAACACCGAGCGCTCTCGTGCGCACTCAACGGTTTAAAGTGTGTCGTGCCGCTCCGTAAATGCAGTGCTGAAAAATTAATTGCGTCCATTCGTGATATAGAGAGAGGATTTTATTTTATAACCAACAACTCCAAACTTTTTACAAAATGACGACGACGTCGAGTGCGACTTTGCTGACCAACACGGACAGCAGCCACCTGACTGGCGTCATGTCCTCCGACCCTGGGGCCAACGACCTCATGTCCTCACCCCCTGCCACCCCCGAGAACTGCAAGATGAAGGACGAGAAGAGCAACAACCCCATGTCCCTGAGCACGTCTTCGCGGGACGTTCAGGAAATCGACACGCGGGACCGACGCTTGGTGTATGTGTCCGGCGGCCAGTTGGTCCTCGGAGGGGTCATCCTGGCGTGGGCCGGGGCCGTCGTGTCGAACGATGCGTCGCTGGCCGGTGCCTCGGCGGCGGCCGCTCTCATCGGCGGCGTCTTTGGCCTGGTGGCTGGAGTGGCCGGCTTCGCGTCGCGCCGGAGGAAGCTGCTGTCCAAGAGCAACCACAGCAGCTCGGTGGTCACCGTCGCCACCAGTGCCATCGCCCTGGCCGCCTGCAGTTTGGTCATCGCTCTGTCGGCCACCGGCCTTTTGAGGGATGGAAACAGACCTGCTTTACAGGTACATTTTAAATGTATTAAAATATTAAATACAGCATAACAATACATTTCAATTTTTTTGCATAAATATGTTAATATTATTATTTTATTTTATTTTTTATTTTATTATTATTTAATATTTAAAATTGTATTTTTATTATTTTTATTTTAAAATTACATTTGAAGACTTAAAAGTTCTATATGTTTCAATAGTTGAATCAAATTGCCACATTTTTTTTTTTTAATTTCCATGGCAGATACTTATATGCATATTTTTATTTTATAACAACTCTCTTGATTATATGATGTTTGATTTATTAGAAAATATATAAAATTATAAAATGATTAAATAATTAATCAGAATAAATTATATTATCTTAAATCATAAATGAAAATTCTAGCTGATAATGATTTCATTTTTATAAAATAATATTTGACGCTTTAAACCGTTACGTTTTAATTTGAATTAATGGATTGAATAAATTAAATAAATAGTCTTTTTAATAGAATCTTTTGGAAACATGCTTTTACCACTTCAAGTTAATTTTATTACACTGGAATATTTAAATATTTTTATGAATCGTAATATGTATAAAAAAATCAATATCAACAAAAAAATTAATTTTTGGATAAAATTTCATTTACTTCGCTTTACTTCCAATGTTTGTATAGCAAATTTTTATCTAAAACTAATTTTTTTGGTTGAAATTGAACAAAATTCATTTTATATAGTAATTTTATTATGATCATTATAACCTGATTTTGACACTCAATTTGCAAATTAATGTATTCATTCACTTATTCAGAGGTGGCGATTACGCGATGAAAATATGCATATTTAAGCCCGAGTTAAAAGCCTGGAGAGTTCCTGGACTTGGTCGTTGGTCGGTCGACGTGCGCTGCCCCAGGGGAGCAAAAACTTTCATATCTTTTCGGCGGCACACTCAATTATGAAACGCACAGCCCTGAGCCTAGGAAAAACTTTCCCTGCTATTTTAGGCTTGGCGGCGATATTGGGCCAAAACTTGTCGTTTTCGACCGGCGGCTACACTCGCTACACACGCGGGCATCTCTATCTGTAATAACAAACAAGACAGTTATTATTTTGGGCAGGGCCTCCTTCCGTTTTTCGTCGCAAACCCTTGCAGAAAAGTCCCGGGAGAGTTTCCGCCTTTGTCTCTCATTTCGCATTTTCCGTCTCGCGTGATTTACTTTTGCGCAAAATCTTGCCATGTACACGTGTTTGCTTTATTTTCATTATAAGCAGCTTTTGCTGCTGCAAATGTTTGCTTTTGCCTCTCATCTAATGGAGCACGATTTTGTTTATCAGCGAAATTCAATTCTGTTCAACCGGTTTCGAATCGAATAAACAGGATTGTTGAAGATGAAACCACTTGGATTGTTTTTGTCCGAGCTGCTTTTTCTGCTCTCTCGGTGGCATGTGGAATTTTATTTAAAACAGACAGCCGCTCTCTTTTCCCAGCAGAATCCGGTTTCCATCTCTAAGGCGCGGATGATCTTCTCCATCTCTTTGAATTAAAATACGAAAATGAAAGTTAGAAAATCGTACGTCTCCTCTTTGTGAGCATTTTATTATAATTGAAAAAGCCTGCTAGGGCTTTTGAAATATTTCAGTTTTCCATCTTGAGAAAATATAATACGTCCTTTGTGATGTTGAGAGCAAGTTTCCATCTCGTCTCAACATCGCAAATATATAAATAATGCTCGTCTGCAGAATCAAGACGAGATGTTTGTTTGTTGGTATTTATATGTTCTGCAGTTTTTGCCCTTATGTGAGTAGTCTGAGCTCCTTGTACACACATCGAGAGTAAAAGCCCATTATGTGGAATCTCTTTGCTTTCCAGTTCCATGAAAATGCGCCATTGTGTTTTGTTTTGGGTGCGTGCTTTTCTTATTACACCAAATTACGATTTTGTCTCTCATTGTCAACGAAAACGTCGCTCGTCTTTTGTGTGTCAAAAGTTCACAAACAATTCAATTAGAAATGTGCCAGACGAATTTTCTAGTTCGTGGATATACACGCTCATGCACACAATTGTGCACTGAAATTATTTATAAGCCGGAGATACATTCCATACAATTTCCGTTGGGCGTCACACTGCGGTAAACATGCACGTAAACAAATCGCTGCTTTCCCGCTCTCGGGTTCAAGAAACCCTCCCAACAAAATTGTAACATAACGAGAGAAGTTCCTACCTACCGCTTCCGCCAATTAATGCAACGAAAAATAGAAGCCTACCATGCATGCATGCATGCATTTTCCCAAAAATTAAGTTTGGATTTTGTCTGTGTTGCAACTTAGCCCACTTAAATAGTTGCAATTCTTTTATTCTTTTGAAAAATATGCATTCATGTGAAAAATTTTGCCATTAAAATTTCACATTTTAAGTTTTTTTGCTGAGCAAATTTCTAATTTTGGTAACAATGCCCAAAGAAATGTCATTCCAGGAATATTTCCATTCTGTAAAACAGCAATTAGAATAGGCGAGAAATTGCATTGGCATCAGCTTCACGCTCTCTAAACGCTTTAAACTATACATGCAGTGTTTCACTAAATTCACTGGAAGTTTTTAATCCTCTTAATTCTCTGTAGCTTAACTAGAGATAAAAAAAATTAAATTTGGCAAAAGTCCAGGCTTACGTTTTCACTAGGAATAATCCATCCTTCATTTGCATTTATGTGAAGCTCAATATCAGCCACTATAAGGTTTGCTATGTGAATTATACAAGAGAGGAGACAAAGGACGAGATTTGAGCAGGGTTGAAAATACATACGCTTGCGTGAAATATGCACTCGGTAATTTTCCCCGGGGAGGATTGTATTCCTCTGTCCTCTGAGTAATCCTGCAAATCCCCTTATCGCTGAGTTTGAAATCCATTTATTTCAAGATGCACTGGTGACATAAGTGAATTGCACGAATGGTGAACCTATTCAAAATGACTGAGAAAGAAAATAGATAGGAGGAAAATGTTTTTGACCTGATTGTGGGTGCGGCGGGAACAACTTTGTGTAGAAGATAACATTTTGCAAGAGAAACTCGCAAATTGCATTGCTTTCTTCCTGAATACTCTTGTGGGCATATAAAATCTGCAGAAACATGGCAACGTTTTTATGAAAATTTCCCATGCAAGATTATAATTGACATTGATCAGATTCACTGAAAGATGACTTGGGTGAATTGATTAAAGATATGAGTGGATTTATTGTTTTCATTTTCAGATTTTTTGTAATCATTAACTGATTTTAAGCATTACAAGCATGACAGGCTTGAAACATAAAATTAAAATTTATTTAACAGGATGGTGCCTTGTTTCAATCACTTTTAGGGTAAAAAGTATGGTTATCTAATTTCAATTATCTAAAAGTAGGATTTTATGATACATATATGAATTTATTGCAAAGTAAATATTAAATAGTGTTAGTTTGTAAATAATTTTGTATATTTACAAATTATGTTAGAAAATTAAATCAATATAAAAAGTATAAAAATAATTTTGATATCAATATGTCATTTAATAATGATTTGTTAAGTAAGTTTAAATTTTAAACGTATATGGTTTATTTCAACCAGTTTATTGACTTGAAATAGAGAAGCTTTATTAATTAATTGACAACAATTTAGTAAATTGTTTTTGAATGAAGCAACAATGGTCAAGTCATTAACTCAAGCCTGTTTCATCCCTTTCGGAAACTTAATTGAATGAACAAACAAGCACTTTGCAGGGGCAGAAGTTGAGCAACAGCAGCGTCTTCAAAATTCCCCGAAAAGCAGTGGGGCCTTTGCTCCTACAGGTTGATCCCTGCGCAAATCCTTTCGCAGAGAGAAACCCTTTGTTTTCAATTACGAAAAGGCCAAAAGTTTGAGGCAAGAGAAACATCAGAGGGGGTTCAGGGCCATTCAAGGGGCCAGCAAGCATCTCATATATGGACCGCATTCCGATTTTATTCGTCGTAAAAAGGAATCGGTCCCCGAATTAACACTTTGGTGCTTTTCCTCTGCGCTTTCACGCTTTTTGCGCACACCGAAAATCGCGTCGGGCTATTTTCTCTTCGAAATAACGAGTGGCAATAATGCCTCCGCTTTATTCTGCAGCCTCAGCAGCAGCAAAACTTTCTTCTCCTTTCTGCTTCTTCACTCTGCTGCGCTGCACTGATGGTAAAGAGGACAACGTGAAAGTAAATGGAGAATGAAATAAGCTTGGCCGCGCGTCAGTACTTGATAATCATATGGGCTGCGCGCGTATAAAAAGCACGCCCCGCGGCCTCGCTGCGTTTTTACTCTTAATCCCAGCATTAGAAATCGATGCGTGCCCCGGAATTTGTTCAAGACCAAATTTCGCTTCTCCTTATCGGGCGTTCAAGGTGCTTATGTGCTTTTTCATTCGGAAAGGTCTTGAATGGGCCGAGGAATTTTAAGTGGATGGAAAATGGAGAGAGAAATAATTTCATCAACGTTGAAGGAGGTGAAAAGTTTCCACGTATTGACTTTTAAATAGGACAAAACTCCAGTCTTTGATAGTCATTTCTGAGACGATTTTTTTTGCCACAATGGGCACAATGCACATGGCAGATTTGTCATAAAAAAAAAATGAATAAATAAATAAAATAAATAAATAAGGAAGCTCAAATTAACACTTACATTTTGATTTTAATTAGGAAATATAATTTTAATTTATTAAATGCCAATGAATTTCCTAAAACTATCAAGTTCATAAAAAAATGTTTGAATAATCCAAAATTTTCATTCATCTAATTAATTACTTCGGGAAAAACATTAATTACATTAGTCCGCTAAAATTCACAAGCTTTAAATTGTTTACAATATATTAAATTACATTATTAATTTGAATATATAATCAATAATAGAGTCAAGTATTTCCACTCATAATCATACTCCTGTTGACAAAAGCATAATGGAAATGATTTTACCTCGTCATACATTATATATTATAAATTATAAGTAGCGATTAATTTCTTGTTGTCATTGTTGAAACCTGCCAGTTTATTTGAGTGGAATCATTTTTGAATCAAGAAAGTTCTCAATTTCCATCAAACCGAGTGGTTGTATTCAAAACAATTCTCGGTTTCCTTCTCATTAAAATTCAAGGAACTGCAAACACTTGACATATTCCGACATATTCTAGATTGCGAACGTTCCCAGGCACCAACTGATAGCTATTTCCATCAAGGAAGTAAACGCTGTAAAATCATTTTCAATCAAAAAGTTAAGATGTTCTTTATTAAGTTCTGTTGACGACAAGGAAGAAATGCTTAAAATAATTCTAGAGATGAGTTTGTTTTTGAAACTTCCTATTCAAAATTGTTCAATTTGTGTAACTGAAGTTTTAATACTGCATAAAAACACAAGGAAACTGCGAGCGAAACAGCTCATTCATAATGCTCTAACCGCGTTTGATCTCTGAGAGAGAGGTTTGTGATTTATTTATGCAACACCAACTCTGCGAGGGTGGCGAAAGGAGCTGTTGAAAGTAGCAGCCACAAGTTTCACATGAGCTTGCAGTGCACATACCTCTCATATTCGCGCTAATACACACACATGAATATGCATTCCACCGCTGTTTCTGCTTTTATTATATGCAAATCTGGGCGCCTCGTATGCCAGAATGCTGCATAATTAATTTTTAATTAAAAATAGTTTTATTTTAATATTCAGAAAGCGATTTTTGATGTTTTTTTTGTCTTTCCAAGAAATGGGAAAAAATAATTGCAAAAGTTTTCCAAAGAGACTGGAAAATTCGTCAAAGTCGCTTAATTGAAAGAAGTTCCCTGAATTTCGTGCTCCGCTGGATTTAATTATTCTCCCTTTTGCAACGGCGAAAATTGCCTTAGAGTAACAGACTTCCCCAAAAAGAGAATTTATTTCAAAGCGCGGACTATAAAACCAAAAAACGACAGCAACTTTTCATGACGACTTTTGCAGGGATTCTCATTTCCTCTTCGTCCTGAAAAGAGGTGAAATCTTTTGAATATTTTTCCGTCTCATTTCACGATAATTAGATCAAATTGCTCGCTGACACATTTTTTTTCGTTCGATTTTGTAATAGACTTCTAAAATAATTAACGGCAATTATCTCATAGCCTCCAAATGGAATCGACCTTTTCGTTGCTCAACACATATTACGTAGAACGGCTTGCGTGCATCGCGATTAAGGTCTGATGCATCCAAAGTACAAGATCGATCAAAACCATCTCTCTCTACGCTGCATGCTCTTCTCCAATCTGATAATTGTAATCCGCCGTGCTTTCCGTGCCGAATGAACAAAATAAACCAAAACACATTCTTCACGCACACAAATAACTGCAAGGAAAGATCCCTTTTTATTCTGTATCATTCACATATACAAAAGACTGAGAGACTATTAATTTGTGTAAAAGTTAATGAAATTTTCGTCTGATTGCAAGTAAAACTTTCCTTCTCCCTGCCTTTTATTCGTGCATTTTTTTGCAAATTTTTCCTCCTTTTCCATTCACAGCGTCTTTGCTCCCTGCTTTTTGTGTGCCTCCATTCACGCGAGCTATGTTTAATAAGCTTCGTCCCCTGGTGCAAAAAGAAGAGGCGCGTACTAATTACGAGAACGCCCTGAAGCGCTCGGGGTTGCTCAGTTCAAGCGTTCAATGAAATTCAGCTTGATGGAGCGATGGCGAAAAGTAAAGAATACGTCTTTATGTATAGGGAAGATAGATAATTATTATAATAAGAAAATCAAATAGATTTTAATATTATATATTTTTTTTATTTTGTACTTTATTTGTAGATTTAAAAAAAATCAAAGGAAAGAAACTTTTTTATTGCTGCAAAAAAGATTAAAACTTTAAAGAGTTCAAAAATATCGTTTATAGAAGACTCAAAAATAAAAAAAACTTTTTGGCAGTGAAAAAGCTACAAAAAAAAAAACTAGAATTTGTTACAGAAACATATCCTGAGTCATACATCCTGAGGTCATTTAAAGTTTTTGCAACGAGTTAAATAATTAAATACTTTGGGTGAAAGCCTGGAGCTTGTAGGGATTCGGACTGAAAATTGGTTCCATAAAATTTGTTAAGTTTTGTCCTGCATAATTTTTTGATAACCGCAATACTATACGCAGATCCGAGAGTTATGGGATAGACGTATTTTTTTTTTAAATAAAGAATTGCTTTGATAATTAACATTACAGATCAAAATTTTTATTTTACCAGCCATGTGACGTATTTTAAGCACAGACATTATAATAAAACCGCGTGTGCCTCTTTGGGGATTTGGTTGAGAGAGGAGTCCTGCGATTGACGTATTGCTACTTTTTGTTTTAATAGAAGCATCATTGTTCGCAGGTCACGTGGGGCGCCCTGATTGCCAACGTGGGTCTCTTGCTGACATCAGGGCTGATGGCGACGTCGTGCGTAATCGCGGCCGCCCTCTGGAGGAAAGACGCCGGCCTGTGCACTTCGAGACACCGCAGGGCACGTGCCGCCGCCGCCGTTCAACAACCCCTGCCCTGCACGCCTCCGGTGCCGCACAAGCACAAACTTATTAATAACTGGCTCGGCCAACAACAGGGACCACCTCTGTTCATGATAAGTCCGGTGAGAAAATTTTTATTAATTTATTAATATATTTACAGTTTAATCAAATACGAATAATACGGTTAATTACTTTGTCAGAGAAATTTCCATAAAAATTGGCTTGATTCGAAATTAAGAAAAATCAAATAAAATTGAAAGGTTATTTGCACTGAAAAGTCTACGTTTTACTCTTGACTTTAAATAACTAGAAATATATGAAGAAATCACATATAAACGCACATAAATATATATTTATATTTTGTAAATACATAATAAAAAGACTAAGTTTTTGAAAAATTCACTTAATAAACATAAAATTTAATCAGTAGTTTTTTTAAACGATAAAACAATGACAACAGTTGAATATTCTAGTTATGATAAATTGCAGTATTGTTATCAAAACCATATAAACACATTTGAACAATATTCAGATAAAAAATGTACTACAGTAGTATCATAATTTGTAAATACAATTTTTGTTTTTAAGTACAACAAAATATGAAACAGTCTACAAAATTCTTCTTATTACTTAAAGTATATGTTTCAAATTCATCACAATTAAAGTGATTAAAAATCAAGTATTGTGCGAGTGAAATATTTATGTGGCAAGCAGCCTGGTATGTAACACTGACATTTAACTTTCAAATTTCACTGACTGATCTTATCAAAAATTACTTCATACGGTCATTCTATTCACCATTGAAGCCTTTTAATTCGGCTTTAATACCCTAGATATTGATCAAAGACAAAAAATATAATATTTGGTGAAATGAGAAGTGAGCGCCCTACATATTTAATGACAATTTTGAAACTAAAATTGGAGTTTGGAAATTTCTCCCGAGGCGCTAAATGGATTGGGTAGTCAAACGAATTTCACACGTATCGTTTTTCGGTTCGACTTTGTACTTTGTGATCGCGCATATAATAGAAACCAAATTGATGAGCTGCATACGTTGTTTGTAATTCAGGCGTGTCAGCAGCAGCAGGTGGGCCATGCCGGGAATAAATATAAAGGTCGGCGAGGAAAACGTGCTCAACTCACTTTCTTGGCAAGCTGGTCCGCCGCACTTTCACTACCGATTCATAAAATTCAGACACATTTTGGTCAACGACCATTTAATCATCAGACAGGTGAAACCACACGTTAGAATTTGCAGCCGGTGCTTTGATTAATTTGTGGCTTACTCGCTCGAATGGCCGTGAAAGCTCCAAACTCCGCCTAATTAGCATAAAATATTCATATTTTTAAGCAGGAAATGGCAATAAACATACCAAATTTTTAACCTCTTTGGCCATTACGAAGAAAGTTATTTTATATTAGTTTTTTATTGAATTTTTGTTGAATTTAGATATTCTTGAAAACAATTTCTGGGAAAAAATATCAAAGGATATTGTGTATGAAATTTAATCCAATCCTTTTTTATATGTTCTCATCTTTATTAATATTGCAGGAAAGAAAAAATAATAATAATATAGAAGTACCATTTTTTCAATCAAGATTTTCCTTCTGTTGCCTTTTTTATTGAAACGTTTGAGTTCGAAAATGAACCCACCCTGTGTCAATATTGCATTCCATGACAGAAGTGAGGCGCAGTAAAAATCGATCAGCCGTTGACATTGCCTTGAAATTGTATTGGACACGTGCGTGCTTTTGATCTGGCGGCCCTTTTTCATCTCTGACATTGAATATTTGCATGCGGTGTCAGGTGTCAAGGGAACTCGCCCGAACCCAAAGGGATATAAACAGAGCCAGTTGTTGCTGAATCGTCGGGTTACGCGCCTCAGTAAGTTGTTTTCAAGATCACGCTTTGCTCCGATATGCGTGGAAAGTTCAGAGATGATAAAAAGAAAATATTAAATGAAAATGAGTATTTAATTATGCATTCATTTTTTATGTTAAAAAAATACACTAGACTTACAAATTTTTTCATATCGTCTCCTCCTATCAAGAGAAGGAATAATATACATATAATATTATTTATTCTTCTTGAACACGTTGATAATTTTTGGGCCGCCTTAAATAAAATTAATGGTCAACAAAACCGTTCAATAATAGGAAAACGCCTAATAAAACTCAATTTCAAAGCTTTGGAAGAAATGAAGTGTAAAAATTGAAGTTCCCTAAATTTTGCATTTTCAAATTTCCTGGTTTCATAATATTTTCATTTGAAATAATATTTAAAATTTTTTGGTAACTTGAAACTCACTAAAATATCTAAAATTACGAAGCAAGTAACACCTAAAAACTGGTCAAGAGTTCATAATTAAGTCAACGTTCAAGGTCCTTTTTAAAAGCATTTTGATTTTTATGGGCATATCATTATTTTTAACTTTATTTATATGTGTCCAAAAAGGAAGGAAGACTGTTCAAATAAAAAGAATAAAAACCACGTCCAACATTTCTTTTACGCTGTTTTGTGAGAAGCAAAATAAATTTAGGTCCCAAAACTCTCCACTTTGGTAGGTACATACGCAAATATGGCAAAAAAACGCGGGAAAATCCATTTTGCCGTCAGATGCAAGATGCTAAAAGTGATGTTCCGAGTAAAGATAACTTTTTGCCAAAGGGCCACCGCTCCATCTCTCTGCTGCTTTTAGTTTCATTTTTAATAACGCAGCACTCTGTGTGTGTTCCGAAGTTTCTTTCCGCCCGAATAAAAAAGGTGGCAGATGCTTTTACGCACAATGCAGCATACATACAATACTTGACACTCCTGAAAATTATTTTACTAAAAAATCCTGACGGGTTTTTCTCTAAAAATATCTTTATGTTTGGTTGATTGATTACATTCGTCATCCCACGCAGCCGACGCCACTTTAAAATTCGATTTGCATTTTCCTTTTCCCAACATAAAGGAATATGATAAAGAAAGGGCACGAGATGTCTTAGCAATGTTGAAAGGTCGAGAAAAATGATGATGAATTGAGAGCATCTCGAGTTACCGCAGCCAACAGTATATTTGTATTTTCCGCTCGATTTCGTCAAATAAAAGCTTCTTTGGCTTCTGCGAATTGCATTTGCGATAATGGACTGCTCGCTCATGATATTGATTCATCATCCGTCCACTCACTCTCTCAAAGGGGTTGTGATTGTGTGCATTTTACCGAACTGCAGTTGGTCTTTCACTCACTGGGTAAATGGAACGGCGAAGCTGAGAGAGGAGATGGGAAATTTTCAACTAGGTGCAAGCGAGGGAATGTTTGTTCAATTTCGCAAGTGGCTTTAAAATTTCGAGATTAAAATTTAGAAATGAACCATGTGAGATGAAAACAAATATTCAAATTTGATTGCAAAATTTAAAAAAATTTAATTTTTAAGACTAATTTAATTTACGTGGAGAGAGCATGAATTGCAAATTAAAAAATAATTAGATAAGATTAATCTGAAATTTATTTATGATTAAACGAGACAAAAAGTTTTTTGCTTTCAATGAAACAATCTTTGCAAATCTTAACAAACCAGGAACAGAAATAATCATTTCCGGGCTGGTGCGCAACTTATCGAATGGAATATGAATAATTGCTCTCTATGGGTCTGTGTGTAATCTATATGCACATGCTCTACTCTATTTATCAATTAAATTTTCACGTTCGGCTGGGCATCTCATTTCGAAAGCGCTAATTGGAAGCGTTTTTCGGCGCTCTGCACGACTCAATTTGCAAATCTCTCGTGCGGCGCCTCCAAGGGCACGAAATCGAAAGTCGAAAGAAAATTAATTCCCTAGCTGGACCGAATTTCTGACACGTCGGCGGGCAACGCCTGCCTAACAAGGCGTGTGCTTTTCATTGGACGTAATTCACAGATCGATCGTGATTTAATAAATGGCACCTCTCTTACTCGCCTGGTTGGAATTTATTCTGGGCATAGAGATCAAGGACTTGTGGTGCAGTTTGAGGAAGCGGGACATAAACATTTTCAATATTTCGAAGGCCAGCTGTTAAAAAAGCCAAATGGAAACTCAAGTGCTTTTTTAGTTGATATTTTATTGGGAAAGCCTTGAATTAATAAATAACTATTAGCGGTGCAATTCAGCCAGAAAATATGAGATGTAGATTAAATGTTTTTAATTTTCGGATAAATATGCCTAAATAATATTTGATGGTTTTTTCTTCACGATTAAAATGTTAGAAAATAATGAATTATTACCAACTTCAATGCCACATAAAATAATGAAAATCAAATTTATGTACAATTTTGATATATATAGAAAGGTATTTTATAATTACATATCATGAAGTTCCATTTCAAAGCATCCCATTTATTATTAATATTTTGAAATTTAAAAAAGATCAAAAAATTGCTGCGCTACCTAGGAAATTATTTTCAGTATTTAAAATTTGTTTTTTAAGCTTTGAATTTCCTTTTTGGCTTTTAAGATGGGGATTTTGAATTTTATTGAATTAGGAAAATTATATTATCATCTGTTAATAAATATGGATAAATATTTCTCTTTGATAGAGTTGAGAATTTAATAAAATAAAGCTTGAAACTAATTAAATGCCTGGTAGAGAAATTATCCGTGCTTAGCCAATTTTGCAGCTTTTGCCAGCACACATTATATAACGCCGCACGTCGGTGCTTCCGTTTCTAATTGGCGGTTTCATTAATTCGCGTCCGTGCAGAGTGTGAGTTAGGCGGTTGTGCGCGCACGGCTATTATACACACTAATTGTGAGCAACGTACGTGTGTGTATGTTTTAGTTTCAGCCTAGTTGCGCAACTGAGGAGCACGGGTTGAATTCGGAGACATTTCATCAGGTGGGCGTCGAACGTCGAACGCGGGCTGCATAACAAAACAATAGAGTTGACACAATTTTATGTGTCGCGGTCATCGGCCGACATTTGAGGCATCGCGCAAAAAGTTTCAATCAATTGCTTGTTTCTCGTTCAAAATAAAATGCAAAGCTTTCACTCTATTGTAGGTAGAGCAAGATGATTTCTTTCTTTATTTCTTTCGTTCGTCTTCTCCCTGATTGAAGAAACCGTTTCTTTTGTTTTCTTTTTTACAAGAGTCGACGGTA